ACACGTCGAAAAAACAAAAATTTAATAGTAAGGAAGAGGAGGATAAAACAATGTCTTATAAAATAGTCCTTGATTCGGTAGAACGAGAAGTACTCCAGATTCCAACTAATTATAAAAAAGTACCTATAGAGAAAGTACGTAAATATATATGTAGAAATTCAATCTTTCTATATTGTAAATTAATAATTGTATATAATTATTATATATGTATTTAGGTTCGTGTATACACGGCCGAAACATGGAAAGAGAAAGCAGCCACCAAAATAATACCTAATCTAAAAAAATTGACTCAGGAATCTCTTTCACATCAACAACAAAAGCAACCGATTTTAAAAAAAAATCGTTCTAAACGTCAGCAACATAAAGAACAAGAATATGAAGAACAACAAGAATATCAAGAACAAGAATATCAAGAACACGATGAACAAGAAACACCACATCTAAGAAGGAGTTTGCGACTACAAAAAATACAAAAACCATCGAGTAAACCACAAAGGGAACTATCAAAAAAGAAAAATGTGAATGTAATTGGTAAATTACAATCTTCAGCAGTTTTATCATCTTCGCCATTAGAAGCTTTAACATCATCACCGTCATCATCAGCATCAGCATCTTTAGCATCATCTTTAACATCATCTTTAACATCGTCACCATCAGCATCTTTAACATCATCACCAGCAGCTTCGCCAGCTTCCTTGCCCTCCTCATCTTCATTCATGATCACTCGAACTAAAACATCATCAGGCTCAAGTAAAACTATTATTAAAAGAAATCGTGATGTTATAGAGATCACTTATAATAGAGCAAACGATCATAATGATGAGAATAATGATGGTGATAATGATTCTGATAGTGATCATGATCATGATAGTAATGTTGATCATGATAATGATGGTTATAATAATCCTAAAGTTAATGTTATAATTGACTTGGATGATGTACCATCACCACCACTAATTACACAACATAAAACAAAAAAACAAAATTACGGGTCTTTTAACAGAAAAGACCATATTCTGTAAATTTGATAAAAAAACCTTCACATTTTCCAAAGCAATCCCAGATATGAAAATGGGTTTCTGTTGTAGCTTACTAAGGTTTACTAAGCCTGATAAAAATTCTACTTGTACAGCCTACAAACAGCCTTCAACACAAAACTCTCTCAAAAAGCAAATCTATCTACTAGCTGCACAATATTTACTTGTCTCATTCAGATTAGTGTTTTGCTTCAATGGCTGATACAACATGTGCCCATAGGACTTGATCCACATCAAGGAGAGTGAAGTCTACTTAGCCTTGAGCTACCCATGTCCTTGCTGCTTGACAGTAGACACACAAGGAACTGGTTAAGGTATTGCCAAACAAGAATTTCATTATGCTTTCTAGATTGCTCGTTAGTATTTTTTGTATGATCTAAAATATTAAAAAAGACACTGCGCATTTACAAACATGAATACATTATTATATTACATTCATTGAACATTTGTATTCAATGTAATCATTTGTTTGTGAAAATGGTCATTTTTGTGAGATCAAACTCAGTTGGCAAGTTGTTCAAGAAGGTCCAAGTGTGATGCTTATAAAATGTCTGAGAAGAAGTATTTATTGGAGGGATTGTTATTGGTAAATCTGATGCAGTTGACATTTATTCTGTCAACAATAATTTGTTGTCCAGTTTGAGAAACAGATAAAAATGATAGATTAGATTATAAACCATTGTATCTTTTGACTAAGTGCATTAGAAAATTCACCTGAAACACCTTTAAGTATTATTGTTAATGAAATGGAACTAGATATGTGAGAAAATGAAAAGAAAAAAAACTATAAATTAATCTATAAATGTTTAAATATAATAGTATAATAGGTTTTGTGTCTTTTTTAAAATTTCTTCATATAATAAATTTTACATTAATTAATAAAATTTTCATTTCAAATTCAAATAATTTATATTTACCAGTCCACTTGTACTGTATTAGAATAATTTAATATAACTTAATCATTTGCAAAATTTCATTGAATGATATTGCTTTATTACCTACTCTTCCTGTGTTCTTAGTTGTATATCAAAATCATTAAAATGATTTCTAACCTATACCATAGATACCCTTGAACACAGTCTTACAAATTTCAATTTCCCCAAAAAATAAACATTTGCCAATCTCCTCATTTTTCTCCTTTAGTAGTTCTTTCATTTCTCAGACTACACCCTATAAAGAGTATCTTGTTCAAATTTTTTTAAACCAAGAGAGCATTTATAACATTATTAAAATTTAAATTCCTTTTCAAGCATTCTTTTTGATAGGAAACTCTTTCTAGTAAATTTGTTATATAATGGTTGATATCATTATACTATTGATCATGTCACGTATTCCAACCATAATTTTTAATCTATCTGTCCATATTTTTTTTGGGCATCCTGCTGGAAGTCCTCCTGAAACTTCGCATATAAATCCTTCTAAGGTTGGTCCTGTTGGCAAAGTAACAATTAAATCAGTTTTTTGTACAACACGTGCACAATCATCATTGTGATCTTGGTCAACTCTACGCCTTTCTTGATTTGCTACTAATTGTCATTTACACCTGAAAATCCAAAAATAAAATGTTAAAATAAAATTAACAACATATAATCTGAACCTTTGAAAAAATACCAAAGTTTTCGAAACTTCTCCTGATTTTGGTCAATACTCATTCTAAAAGCAGGGGCAACAATGTGAATCATAAGCTCCCCTTCATTTATCGGCAATTTAATATTTCTAAGGTATTCTTTTAATATTGTCAAGTGTGCGTGCAATATTAGTACCTTTTGTTGTGCCTTTGAATCCTATTCAATGAAAAGTTTCTTATAATCAATGAAACGAAATAAAGGTAATGACTAAATAAATATAAAACAGTTACTGTTATTACCTCAATATTGTCAAAAAAGTCTATTTCGAACTAGTCAAGCTCTACCATTTTCCATGCTATATCTAGTTGGAAATTATTTAATAGTTCCTTCCATTTTGAGGTAAACTTTTTCTTTGTTGGCTTGTGCTGTCCAGTCAAATCAAGAACCTCCCAATACTGTGGACTTCAATGGAGAAAAATAATATTCATGAATTTTGTAAAAAAGTTCTTTGAAAAATCATGATATATACAAGAATAATACTTACTGGACTTCAGGATGTCTTTCGGCAACAAATCTCATAAGGAATCAAAAAATCCACAACATCAATATCATCAATTTGAAGGAATCCCAATTATTAATTACTGAAATTGTACTAGGCCTTAAGCGTGCTGGCATAGGTTCTTCTTCTCTTCCAATGTTGGATAGATCTACATTATCTACAAGACTGTCAAAATATTCGGGATCTTTCATATAACTATCTTGTAAAGGACTTGATGAAGTCAACTCTTCATCAAGTTCATCATCTTGGCGTTGACGTTTGAACAAACGATCTTGATCTTCTTCTACATTTAATGGTCTAATAATTTTTCATTCCCCTGCCTATTTCCTGTTTCTCATAATTGATCAATAAGCTTTTGATTTTCTTGTTGATCCTAAATTTTTTTTGGTAAATCTGTTGGTTTATTGTGAACATTGGTTTCGAATTTTCATAATTCTTACCTTTAAAACCGTAACTGTGGGTGGATGTGACATTTAAACGTGCTTCCTCAAGAACTTCAAGATCCTTAATGAATCGCTCAACTTCAGTAGTTGAAAATACCGAGTTAAAATTCGATAAAATCTTTAACCCCTTGTTTCTGGCGTTCATATGGATGTTACATTTGTCTTTATAGCTCTGTAATACTGCATATAAATCTTTAAAATCATTGATTGTAGCTGATGATAGTTTGGGTTTCGATTTTGATTGTGTAAATTCTAAACTTCTGAGAACTGTCAAATCTTTACTTTTTGTTTGATCAAGATATTCTGTCACAATGAATTCAAGCATCTAAAGAAAAAAAATATTAACGCGGTTATCAGTAATTTGTCTGTTTTAACGTAAGAAACATGGCAACGTTCACAGTTAACTGTTTACTAGAAAACTGCATGCCAGTATTCGGGCCTTAAACACGTATGCATAAGGACAGCCCAGCAGACCTCCTCCAAACATCTGAACGCAGGACGGTATGGCCTAACGACAGTAGGAATACGCGTAACTGTAAACTTTGCCAGAGAGTTTAAAGAGCTGCGAAGGTATATATAGAAGATTAACCTTTTTTTTACGTTACACTCTAAAGATCCTGAGTTGCAGTAGTATACGTGTTCAGTGAAAATTAATCTGTAAATCAGAAAAAAATAAATTTTTCACAGAAAAAGTATGTTGAGAAAACTCTACCTCGGTTACACGACAAGATGTTTTTAAGATAAGATTTCCTTATTTTCTACCAATCATGGAGGTTCTGGGTTGGGATCGTGTAACCGAGGTAGAGTATATATTCATTGGTTGATCGCACAAATAAATATGCATAATTTATATAGTCACACTATATATACTAGTATTCAGGAATTTATGGGTCATACACAAATATGCTTTAAAAAATTACAATTCGAATGATTCATTTTATTATGATTTAACATAATCAAGCGAAATAATATTTCAATAAGGGAGAGAATGTACAGCCCCTAGACCATTTAATGTATGCCCCTATACTATGGCTCTACCAGGTGAAAACTATTTATTACTATTGTTATCTATTTCTTAATTGTAATCACCATTATAATTATCATTGTTATTATTGTTAAATACAGATTTATTTTTTTCTTTATATTTGAATTCAATCCAAGATTTGATTGCTCCTACAACCCTGGCATCAGCTTTTGTTGTTTGGTTATAA